GTACGACCACTGTTGGAGCCCAGGAGCACTCTGAAGTTGCATAGTTAGGAGAAAGCACTAATTATTTAGGTACCAAAAGGAATATGAAGGTGGTTTCTGCCCTCCAAAGAGGCCTTGCAGGCCCTGTGCCTGCTACAGGTAGCATTGAGGTAAGTGCATGCTTTAAAAAAAACAAACCCTAAGTTGTACTTTGGAGTGTTCATCTCACCTTCACCCAGCCTGCATTGAGACAAAGATAGACCTCATGGAGTCCCACCTTGACTTCAAGGATGGCAGTCTAAGAAGGTTCCTGTGTGAAGGATTTCATGGGTGAATCCCCACTAGGCTAGAGGAAAGCTCTGCTGGGGACTACCCACGTCAACTAGTAATTGTGTCTCTCTTGTGGTCAAATAACAAGACAACTTTGCTGACCAGACATTGTCCTTTTGGAAGTGCAGTTTCAGCTGCGGATTTTGCCTGAGGGAAAGCTGAGCTTCCAGGAGGACACAACTTTCAAAACACGGTCAGTGCTACAGCAGAATGAAGGCATCATCTATTTTAGGAATTTACATAATTCACAAGTTATTTAGGAATCTTTTGGCAAGTGCAAAATGTATAATCCATGTAGTCCTTTCCCAAAAATTAGTAGACACGAAGTGTCCAGCTACACTTCAATATAAATCTGCCAGTGCTCTCAATACACCCTGAGGCCTCTTCCATTTCAGAGATTTTCAATCTTAGAAGGCTCTATTTGAACCCATTTTTTATTTTGTTAAAGGAAACTTAGATGCAAACATCTGAATATTTTCAAGTATAATTTTGCAGATGCAAACATCTGGATGTTTTCAATTTTAGTCTCGTATTTTATTTCTATTCCTATTGAAGCCTCCAAAATATTGTCAGCAAGAAATAACAGCCTGTGTTATGTATGTGGAGGAAAAAAAAAAAAAAAAAAGAAAAAGAAAATAAAAGACAATTACAAGTTCAGTTAAGCAAAGAGATTCTTTAAACTGGCAGATACTTGTTTTTATGCTTTTATTGTCATTCTCATTTTAGTTTTATTACATTGTCCCAGTTGTTAGGGATAACATGTCATTGTTCTAAGCTTTGTTCTAATTTATACTGGTGGTATTGGTTTCAGAAAGATTGAAAACTTTTCCTGAAGCACCTCTCTGGCTGAAATAAAATGTAACTTCTCCTTTCATATAATCTAGATTTGAATTTGTTGGAAAGAGAGCTTTGTCATCTGCAACTCAGTCAGACATTGCTTGCTCTGAAACAAGTGCAACTGTGGATGTGGTTCCAGATCCCCATGAGATTTCCACACTAGGATGGATTTTAGCCTTGATTCTGCAAACCTGACTTAGCTCAGCAGCCCACAGAAGTGCCATTGCAGCTGACACTGTGGCTGACTCAAGAAGATCCCTGTGGGCTTTGCACAAACTCTTTTGCTTTGATGTTTGTTTCTTTTTAAAATGTTGCAGTGAATTGCAATACGCTGCTATTTTCCATTCTTTCACAGCAACTTGTGGGAAAATTTTATCCATCTATTCTCAACATGTGTCAGAGGCAGAAACAAGTCATTAAGGGACTAGCAGAACTTGGCTGGCCATGGCCCCTGCCTGCACTTCAGAGCAGGTGGATTAGCTGCTCAGGACTGCAGCAGACAAGCTGTACTAGCAGGTTTGTAACAAAAGCCCTGTAACTAACCACCAGCTGGGCACTTCACTTGCAAGTTTAGCTGTTGTTGTTCTCACAGGAAAAAAGGAACTAGAAGAGCGTCAGCCTAGTGGCTGCAGCATTGCAATACATTTCTGTTTTTCTGAAAATGTCACTCTGATGACATCCTGTAATCTCAGTGATGCAAATCCTTCTTTGCTAGGGAACAACATGAGCAAACAGCCTAGCTTTGTGCTCAGAACTGCACTTTACACTCTAAAAGCCAATGAAGCAGTAACACTGAAATGTACAAATGTTTCCAGATGAGTAACATACATTGTAAGCATCCTGAAAATTTAGTGGTTTTACTTGTGAAAAGCCACTTCCTTTTGCTAAGGTGCATTGTGGATCCTAGAAAATGCACTAAGGCCTGTGAAATTGTCAGATACAATCTGCTTCTCTTACAAAACCATCCATGACTGAAGCTACATGGGTTTCCAAATGCACAAGTTTGTTTTGCAGCAAAGTTGTCACTACAGCTTTTGGTTTCTGTATTTCAACTACGAGGAGAGACACATGAGGCTGAAGACAACAACCAAGGCAGAGGTACCATCCTTGCTTCCCAGGCAGGCCAAAGAGAGCCTGCTGGGAGTCCTTCAGGGGATCACAATCCCAATGCTGCTGGGCATGGACCGAGGTAACTGCCCTTGCCTGGGAGTCTGATTGGTCAGCATCCAAAATACCTCATCCCTCCTTCTCTACAGTTTAAAAAAAATGCATGCCAAGCCACCTTCATATGCCTCTAAAATCTTCATTAAAACGTACTGTGGCAGAGTCACATTTCCTGTATCCGTTTATTTGCCTTAGAAATCATACTTGTGTACACAGCAGTAGATGGCTACCTTGCTTTCAAGGGGCAGTGATGAGTTGTTAGCCAAACATTTGTCAATAATAGTTGATGGGAACTTGAGGGGAAATGCTACAACCTATGTAGAAAGACTGAAAAGGGAAAGAGAAAAATATATAATTCTTTAAATTAGAAATATGGTGTAAAAGTGCAGCAAAGGAAAAAAAACCAAAAATCCTTTACTGTTTTCCCTTCCAGTAAAGGGAATCTCTAGGTTTATGTTTTTGTAATGGATGAGCGAGCTGGGCTGAGTCTACAGAATGGGGCAAATCCATAAATATGCAGGGTAGGATAAATCAGAAGAACATATTTGCAGCCCATGTAGTATTAGAGTGTCAAAGCTGGGAAGGAAATGGGGAAGAAACAGAAAGGAGTACAGCACATCTTTTCTGTACATTAAAGCAACAAAAATACTGTTAAATAGTAAGACTTAGCCCACTGCTGACTAAAGTTCAAGAAAAGCTGAGGATGGACAACAGTGACAGCCTTGGGATCTGAGACTCTGCTCCTGAAAATACAGGCAGGCTTTGCCTTTGCTGGCCACCAGCCATCATCAGTTTTCCTATTGCCAGGTTAGACAAAATCACCTCTGAGCCCAGATGGGTAGCCTCAATTTCTGGACTTCATAATTCAAACAGTCTGTCATTTAGACACTATTACTAATCCTTGGAGTTTCTGTCATTTTTTAATGGAAAAATCTTAAAAGTATTGGCAAGTTTCATCTCTAACACTTGTGTCTGATAAGTGTTATTGTGTATGACTGTGACATCATATTAAAGAATACCTCCTAGAAATATTTGATTTGTTGGTCAGTGTACTGACTTCATAACTCAGAGCTCCTCTTTATCTACTTGCAGGTGCAAATGTTGCAACTTTGCTTTCCCCCCCACTATTTTATGATATACATATTGCCAATACTAAGCAACCAGTTCAGATTTTAAGTTAACTGTATCATTCAAGGAGCTTAAATCTATCAACAAGCTGGTCATTAAATGAATCACTGACCTATTTCTCAGCTACTCAAGCTAAACAACCTAAAACTGATGACCTATAAAAGCATCAGTGTGTTAAGAAAAATTATTAGCTGGAGAAACAGAGCAGCAATTGATCACTCCCCACCAATCTGAACAGAAAGAATCACCAGCTTTGACAAATTCCAGAACTCAGCAAATTCTGACCAGAAATCAGATTTTGACAGACTGATGTCTAGGGGAAGTACTATGAAGCTCCTACACTGTCACCATTCAACCCTCCTTCCTTAGACTACTACTGGAAAATTTTATGCAAGTATTTAAAATGGCTCTTACCTGGGATACTCCAGAGTAAAATCTGGAGTGCAGACTCTCCTCAACTCAGAGAGATTAATTTTAGACCTAGCACTTATTTCTACAGTGGAACAACCCAATTCTGTGGTCCAACCACTCTCCCTGCTTGGGTACATGTATGGTTTGGATCCAGACCCAGATCCTGAGCCCTGGCTAGGCCCACCCTATATAGCAAGAAGATTAAAAATGTTTGGTTTAATTTTTAAGTTCTCCATTGCACTTACCCACAGAGCAACACAGAAGAGGAAACATGTGGAAGCCCCTGGCCAGCTCTTACGTGTTTCTGAGTGTGTGGACAGTGATGGGGTGGTGGGATAGAGGACAGGGCAGCATTTGGGGGGGAAACAGCCAAGGTCTGCACACCCAGACAGAGACTGCCAAGGGGGAGCAAAAACAAAGAGGAGTGAGGAAGGGAGTCAGGATTACCTTCCCCTTGCCACCTCAATCAACCATGGCACTGTGGGTCCCCAGCCCTGCATCCTGGTGGGGATTGAAATCTTCTGTCCCTGGGCATCTGCAGCCATCATCACACCAGTGTCACAGCACTTTCTCACTAAGCCACCTGCTCATAACAAAAAAATGATGTGGTTTTCTGCTTTTTCCTCTTCCTCTGCACAAACCAGCCCAGAATACTCAGTTGTAGGCTCCTAATGCTAGCCATTCATCCCATTTGCTGAAGACAGCCCACTTGGGGGCTGCCTTTTGGGACTGTAAATGTATGCAGTCTCCCACCCTCATGTGGGGGAGAATTACAGCTTGAAAACCAAGGCAGGAGGTGAGGCACTATTGAAATTTTCTTGCTTAATCACCCTGATAAGTGACATAAAACCTTCCTGCTTACGTACATATATGAAGTTTTGTGTCTGATTTGTATTTGTATGATCTGTGGCACTGTGTGTAGATGAAGATAGAAGGTAATAAAGTCAGGAGTGAAAGGAGAGGAACAGAGTGGGAGCTCTCTCACCTACAGCATAAAGGTGCTTCAGTCAAGTGTGTGCCTGAAGAGCAACTTCTGGGTTTTTTTTTTTTCTTCTTTCTTTTGCAATCATTGCTCGCTTGACAGGCCCAGACGGAATTACATCACTTCCTAAAACCCATCAAAGAGAGTCCATCTCCTGAAGAAATGCAGCTCAGATGCTCCCCGGCAGGAAGCAGGAAATGTAGATGTTCGGGTGCAGCAGGGAGGCTGCCGGAGCGCCCCTCAGGTGGGAGCGCTGCCGGGGCAGCATGCGGAGCCCCGGGCTCATGGCCCTGCTCTCGGCCCTGGCGCTGGCTGCAGCATCTGCCGGCACTGGTGAGTACGAAAGCGCCTTTCGCCTGCCCAGGTGGGACCGCGTGTCTTGCCGGCAGCAATGGGACCAAGTTGGAGGGCAACACCCTCCAAACTCAGCACAGGGAGGAGATCTGCGGGGACTTGCTCTCTGCTGCTTTTTGCTGTGTTTACCCTCTCTGTTCTCCGTTTCCTCTTTTTTTCAAAGCTTTGACTTTTTTTCCCTTTGACCTATCCCAGAGCAGCAGCAAACAAATCCTACAATTGCAAACTTTTCCTAAATTGCAGGTGTGGAGAGAACCAGAGTTTCCATGTTGACCATCAGGCATTTTGCTCCTAATTTTAGTTAGTTTTTGAACTTTTTTAAACCCCACACCCATATCATCAGTGTTTAGTAGCAAAGTTAAAGGCAAAGCACCGCTTCCATTCAAAAGGTGGCTGCCGATTTCCGCAGTCCCGGTGCACTGAAACTGGTTTAACAAAGGAACAGCCGGTTCCGGAGACAAATATTTTGAACTCTCAGCTGCAGAACAAAGTGGCCAGAACCATGGATTTAGGTTCTGACCCTCTGAAGAAAAGAATCATAAACGGAAAAGCAGCTTGTGACAAAATGCTGGAGCACTGGGGTGTTGTTGCAGAGACTCTCGCCTGTTTGCAGGGGTCATTGGTTCCGCTGGCATTTTGGCAGCCAGCGGCTGAACATGACAGGCAGCTCTTGCAGTGAAACCTTGCTGAGGTAGTGCTTGTAAGCCCTTTGGGGTCAAACAAATCCCTGCCAGAAAGCCTTGGTATGGACTAGAAGTGTTTGCTGCCTCTGTGCTGTTGTAGCGAGTGGGAGCTCTACAGAAAGCAGGGAAAGAAATGGTCACTCTCAGATATCACTGGACTTTTCTTAATGTCCTAAAATGCACTGCTGGAATTGGTGTTTCAGTGTGAGTGCTTTTTCCCCAAAAAACAGTACTCTAAGCAGGGTGCAGAGCTGGGCTGCAGGCTCATGGTGTGCTGCTGAGCTGCTTGCACTTAGGAGACTTGCTTAACTGTACGAGCGAGCTAAGTGAGGTATAAAATGGTTTGGGTTTGGCTGTGTTACTACAGCCCTACTGCACTGCAGACATGTCAGGAAAATATGCTGCAAGCACTGAGTGTAGCTCACAATCAAAGCAGTCAGAGGAACAAAAATCCTGCCATGGGCAAAGCTAAACAGAGGTCCCAGGGAAATGGAGGAGTACAATGAAGGCATGAAGGCAATGCAGAGTGATCAGGCTCCTGCTTCTCTAGCTCATGTGCAGGGTTCTGAGAGCTGCTATTTCATCACCACATCCCCATGGGGAGGGGGGGGACATCTTCACCCAGGGTCCCTCAGCTCATGGCTGGGTGCACCCTACCCTTCTCTGCAATGGGCATTGGGGGCTGCAGGAAGCGCCAGACAGATGTCACACACCAGGTGTGTGACTCCCCACACTCCCCACTTCCTACCAGTAGGTCCACCTTTAAATTCTGGTTGATTTTGGAACAGTTCCTCTTTGGGAGTGAGTCAGTCCTGCCAGAGCCCTTCCCAAGCCCTGTCAGCTCTGACTCTATGGAGCCAATCCACAGTCATAGAGGAAGGGGAGGAGAACACCCACCTTTGCTCCACATACAAAGGCGGTTTCTGCTTATTCAGCCAGCTCCAAAATGTACCTGGGGGCTTACTCTGACTGTGAGTGGGATGGGGAAGTTGTGAACCTCGGGGGGGGGGGGGGGGTTGAAATGAAACTGGTGGGGGGAAAGTTTATGTAGGGATTATGTGACCCACAGGCACTGGTGGGTCAGGAACCCCTAGGCTGAAGGCAGCCTCTCAGGGAGATCCTTTGCTCTCACCCTTCTTTGCTCACAGATCAACAGGGCAGGACCTTTAAGGGAGCTTTTTCACCTTTTGCCAGACACAGTCTTCACCTTTTAAGCAGTCTACTGTCTAGAGACCATTCAGAAAATAGGCAAACAGAGTATGATTAAATCTTGCAGCACAGACATATTAAAGTCTTTTTAAGTCCTGTTCCCTGTTCCTGTTCCAGAACCTCGTAAAAGCCTAGCCTTGCCATTTGGATTATGATTTATTGATGGTTTTCTCCCTGTGATGCTATAATCACTCTAATCCAGTAGCTCTAAGAGCATTCCTGAGGTCTCAGCTCTGGGTGCTGGCCTTCTCCCAGCTCCATACTGAGGGGATGTTGGAGTTTGCACCAGTTCCCTTCCCCTTGCTTTAATGCAGCCAGGAAGCCCTACAGCTAACAGAGTAGGGCATCATCTCCGCTGTAGGGCATGGTACTCACTGCTCAGCCTTGCAGCAGCCCTGAAGACCTATCTAGGTCACACCTAGGTGTGTGTGCTGACCCTAGCAGCAAGCATTAAGACCCTTACTATAGCTCATAGGAACATGCTCTGACCTTGAGTCATTTCCCAGGCTAGGCCATCTCCCACTGGGTTCAATGAAACAGGTGGGAAATTACAGCATAAGTGGCCTGATATGGGGAGCAAGAAAATGTGTGAGGAACAGTAAAATGTGATATCACCAAGTGGAAGAGCTGGGGGGGTTGCAGGCAGTGCTGTATTTTGTCTGTGTCTCTGTGCTATTGTTTTGAATTGTCATTCAAAGAAACACAGCTATCAAAGACTCAGATATTCAGCAGCTTGTACCACGAGCACAGCCAGTGACTCTCTCCTTGGCAGAGAAGCATCTTTTAGGCTGCCTCCCCTGCAAAGCCAGGTCTCCAATGGTTGTAATAATTTTGACCTGTTCCCCCCTCGAGTAATGAACTGAGAATGGGATTGAACCTGTTACAGTCACCTGTTAAAATTTTCTAGCAAAGCAAAGCAACAATGTAAGAAATGAGGATTTGCTACATTTTCTCTTTCCAAAGTGCAGCACCCTAAAAAGCAGATGAAAAATCCTTTCTACTGAACACATCAACTCCTCCTATGTATTTGCTACCATTCCTCCATTTTAGCCACACACAAACATTCACTGTTTTATTCAACTCCTTCAGGGACATTTCAAAAAATCTCATTTACATCAGCAAGATTGTATACTAATTTTCAGTCAGTGACACCAGTCTCTTTTCCCTCAAGAGATTTTATGATAACTGGAAAGCCTCCAGAGCTTTTGAATCTTTAATTTCATAGTCCTCCTGAGAGCAAGGAGCACTGAGGATTTGCATCACAGTGAGGTCGCAGGAGTATCACAGATGCAGACCTAGAAGGCCATCAGATTAAGTAGAAGCAAATAAATGCGTCAATTCATCTGGAAAGCCTGCAGTACTCAGGGTGAGCAATGAGACTACAGGTTCGCAGTTTGACTCTAAGATGTGTGACTGAATTTGCAACACTGCCTGTTAATGCAGCACTTCAGCTGGATGGAAATACAGTGAGGAAAAGCAGTTTCCATCTTGTATAAATGAGCTTAAACAGTTGTTTCCTCTTTCAGGTTATACCTAGATAACGCTTTCTAAGCACCTAGTTTTAATAGGATCTTGTCTACAGATTAGCCACCCTGAAATGCTTGTGCTCCCTCATCAGAAGAGTATGCTCCCAACAGCTAGCCTGCAGGCTTTTAAGGATTCCTCTTCTAGCCAGACTGACAGGCAAGACCTGCCACAACAGGCAGCTGGGCAAGCCCTGGCCATGGCAAGGAACAGCCCTTCTTACAGCAACCTGAAATGAGGAGAGAGGAACAGTGCAGGGATGAGCCAAGCAATACACCAGAGGATCATACAGACTGTGTGGAGTGGTATGACTACACCACCAACAGAATGCGTGCATGGAGCAGAATGATCCAGGATATGGTAACTTTATTCCAGCTTTATAGCCTTTTCTTGTTCTGTCACCTTCTTGTGAGCCTTCCTTTCACTGCATTTTTATAGCTTATGGGAAAGTTTGGAGAAATAAAAATTTTCCTTTCAGACTAATAAGCCTAGCTATCCCACTGACATAGCTCTTGCTTTTTCTCTAGCTCATTGCTTTTTCTTCTGTCAGTAGGCACTCTGGTGTAATCTGAAAAATTCCCTTGAGAGAACCCAGTCCTTGTGTCTGACGGCAAGGCAGCAGAGAGACTGATGGTTCTACAACAAAACTGAATGTGCTGACTGCCAGCTGTTTTCCTCTGCTATTTTCCTTTGCCTCACATCCAAGTGAATTCAGAAACCTGTTTGCCTGCTTACTTCATCAGGAAGCCCATATCACCACCTCTGAGTGCTGCAGCACAGAGGTAGAAATGCTGCAACAACAGAAATATTGTTTGTTTGATTGAGACATAATTTTTTGGACTCCAATCATGTAAAGCTGCTTGGTATATTCAACTGCCTCTGTGTTCCACAAAAAGCACATTGGGAGCACCTCCAAAACTCAAGCAAATTCTATCAGTGATCCAAGCATATTTTTATAGTAAAAAATGCTGAGTAATACCTTATACCATGGTATCTGCATACAGGGCCATAGCTTTTTCATAATTTGAAAAAACTGTTAACTGAACATTTTTGAGATGCTGCTAGTGCTTGCTCAAGTATTTTGGTCCCTAGATTCTCTAATACCTCAACTAGGGAACTCTGAGAACTTCCTGACCTCCAGCTTCTTTGCTTCCAGTTCCAGCTGTGCCCACCTCCCATCAGGGTGGATTGCAGCTGCCTGCCAGCCCCTCTCCCTTCTTGTCTTGAAAGCATGGGAAGTGGCAATACAGGCTGGGCTGAAGCTGTGGTGTGTTCCCATCCACTTCCCTTAACTCAGGAAGAAGTCACCAGCATTCATGTCCCAGGTAGTCGTTCCCATCCACTTCCCTTAACTCAGGAAGAAGTCACCAGCATTCATGTCCCTTCAGACAAAGGTGAAGCCCATGTGGTTGTTGTACGAGTATTTGCTCCTTGGACAAGATGTGCAGAGGGATGAGTATATGGATGTTGGATGTAGCCAACAGCATAAGGCTGAGCTCAATAAGAGAAAGGGCACAGGCTTTGCAAAGTCAAGGAGGTATCTCTACGGTCACATGTGACTTGCTCTTTGTTACACTCCACTGGCCTTGCTTTTCCAGCCTGAATGTCATGCTGTATTGCTGTAAGATTCCCAGAGAGCTAGTAGATGTCTGCAAGATGAAACCACAGCTGACAAGACAGTTCATGGTATGAATTATCACTGTAAATCTGGCATGGAGAAAATGTTTGAACAGCACCTCACAAAATCTCCAACTTTCAGATGTTCTTCTGCCCTGCTCCAAACCTTGTAATGCCCAACTTTAATTCAGCCCACCAAACAGCCACCCAGGCCAGCTGCAGCACAGCCCACTTGCTATTTTGAGCATTTTAAATTGAAACACTACGACAAATAGCAACTTGAGGTCTTGAGGTCAACCACCTGTGTCTCACTGGGTGGGTGGCTGTGGCAGGCACTACAGCTGCACTGCGAAGCCTGAGCCCGACTTCCCTGCTGGGCTGGAGGCACAGATCCTTCCCTGATGCAAGCCTCTGGGCCAGCCCAGGTGCAGGCTGTGCTTTCCTGCTCTGTAAAAAGGGTGATGTGTGGGTGGCCTGAGAGCAAGAGCAACTGCTGGGTGGCAGGTGAGGCATCCCTTGAGGCTGAGCTCTGCTCCTCAGAGGTGACGGGAGAGCGAGATGTGTTGAGGCAGCAGGTAAAATGCAGGAAATAAGAGCAATATCCTTGCAAGAACATTGTGCAATTGGCTGCCCTTCTGCTGAAAGATGTATTTAATTCACTCAGAGAGAGATCTAAGAGGAAATGGTGTTCCCAGAGAGATGGTGTTTTGTCCCTGGAATTATGCAAAGTGAAAAAAATACATGGCAGGAAGGTCACTCCCTGTGATTTGCCATTTTCTTTGCCTAGAGACTAGAAAAGGTAATTCTATTTCACTCAGAGACAAATGATTTGAAGTCTGCTTCATAGTTCAAAACAAGGCAAAGTGGCAGAGATACTGGAAAAATCTCTCTCAGAAATCAAGCACAGCATACTCTGCAGCTGAAAGTTTATCACTGCAGTTAATGAGATGTGACTGTTTTCTTTGCTTTAAAGCCACACCATGCTTCAGACATTTGAAAAATCCATTTTAGCTCTACGGATAAATGAAAAGTAAGGTATTTTCTCCACACCCTTCCCCTATTTTAAGCAACAGGCTTGTCCCTCTCGATATATCAAATGTGGCAGGCAGTGGGTTTCAAGGGCAATGGCTAGAGGAGGAAAACGAAGCAAGGTCATGAAGAGGTTCAGTGAGGCTGCGGCGGGCCATCGGCTCTGCCCGTGGCACAGTCCATCATGCCACAGCCTGCAGCACTGACATCTCCCGCGCTGCCTCGCCGCTCTGCACAGCAGCCGCAGAAATGGACTGGCTGCAGGCTCTGGGAACTACAAACTGCCCTGGAAAAGAAAAGTCAAATGGCCAAACTAATAAGGGAGAGGAGCTCTCCCTCCTGTCCTCTGCGATAAGATTAAGGACAGGCAGCAGATCACGGGAAGGGGTGGAGCAGCACACACCTAAGGGGGTCGTTACCTGCAAGGGAGGCAGAGATAGGGTTTTGCTCTAGACTGAAATATTAAATACAGAAGAGACAGAGAGACTATTGATACAAAGTGCTTTGCCACAGAAGAGCTATCATTTTCATTGTCCTGTTGTGCTGCAGGAGTCTGGTGACCTTCACAGTATTACATTAAGTATTCAAATTCTTTCCTAGTTTTTAGGAAAGGATGAAAGCAATCAAATGCCTGTGTGATACGTGCAGCATAAAAATCTAGATAAAACACTGCTGTCACACTCAAATAATTTTATTCATCTGAAATTGGGTTTCCTTGAATATGGTCTCATGAAATACTCATCTTCTCTTTGAGACAGATCTGGTGGGAGAGGAGATGCTGCAGAGTGGATTAAGCAAGAGATAGCGCTCTAATCCCAGTTTTTCTCTCTCACTTGGCACCCCTGGGAAGGACAGCATCCCTGTCCTTCTGATTCCTCATTTGTAAAATGGAGGTGATAACTGCTCATCTCTCAGGGCCATTATGAAGATTAATGTGTTTACAAAAGCATTTAAAATGCTAAGTACTTTTGGTTCCAGTCCTGTGAGATTGGAAATGCCAGCACTGAGGTGCTGAAAACCTTAAGCTTTTGCTAACTCTTGTGGAAACTCTGGCTGCCCAGCACTTTGCAAGAATGAGGAGAAACATGTAATTGCAAAAGTCAAAAAATTCCATCCTGCTTTATTGCATAAAATGAGATGTGCACCATGCTAGTATTGTATCTGAAAGGGCAGATAACACAAAACCCCCATCATTTACTTTCATGCCAAGAAAATTATTGAAGGCTTTTCTGTTGTAATTTATCTAAAGGCTGATTCTTGCACCTTTGGCTACAACAGGATTTTTGGCATTTGCATAGAATACAGTAGCAGCCCAGAATTTGCTGTACTTCTTCAAAGCTTTTAAACTCTGTGACAGTCAATAGACTCTTACATAAACACACAAAAAGCACTTGTTTCACTATTACCGACACAGCCAATTTTAGCCACTTTTCTTGTGAAATGTGTGATAATTGAAACCAGAACTGAGATCAAAGTTCAAAACCCCCAGTCTTAGCACTCATGGGGAATATCCAGCACTGATGCTTTGCCACACACTCCTTCAGCCAGCCTGCAGAATCAGTCAGAGGAACCCTTCATTGGTATGCAGGGAGGTCCCCGTGTTACTACCACCTCTTCTAGTCCACGCAGATGGGGAAGTCAGCGGCTTTTGCATGCTTCATACTTCCTTTCACCAACTCTGTTTTTCACAGTGAGACAAATTGAACAAATTTGAGAAAGGTACAGAAACAGGGAGATGAGTGAACTAAAGGCACTGGTGAACCAGGGATAATGGTCTCCCTGAAGGCAGTACCTAACTCCTTGGGTAAGGTGAGGGACATACGTCAGGCCAAGACTGAGAAGCCAAACAGGCTGGTGTGGTTTACTGAGAAGCAGAATAATTTCTCATGCAAGCAAGACCGGATGCCAACCTGCAGCAAAAGAAGTCTGTTTGTGCAAGGCAGCTGTGTGCAGAAGATGACACATGCTGACGTGTCCCAGTAAAAGTCAGCTGAAGAACGTGGTCATGACTGGTAAGATTTTGTGATAAAGTTGAGGTCTAATTTTACATCCAATGCCCAAGACTTCCAATCTGTGTGTATGGGGCATCTGTTGGTTTTTTTTAATACATCAAATGGGAAGTAAATACTAAAGTTGTACACTGTGGCTCACTGATAATACTAATGAAATTCTTAAAATGTTAAGTTGTCCTCGTATATTTGACAGATGGTGAAAATGATGGATCAGGAGATGGATCGATGATATCACCCACTTTTACAGCAACACATCTTCCTGCTACGGGTCCTTCGACCGTGGATGACCACGAACCAGTACTTGTAACTGCAAGCACTGCTGAAAGCAGCTTTGATACACAGAGCTCTCCAAGTACTGAAATGAATGCTGTGAACGATGAGGACAGCCTGGAAGCAGCAGAACAGTCTATCTTGATATATGTTGTCCCTGTGGCACTGCTGGTCCTGCTGATTTTGTTGATCACATTTTTTGTAATGCATCATAAAAGGAAAAAGTCCAAGCAAGGTAAATTTTGTCTTCTTGTGCATCAAAAGGCTGTTTCTAGGATGTGTTCAACATTAACAGAGCATTATTTTGAGGCATGGGGTGCCACATTTAGGATGCCCTTCTCTGACTGTAGTTGCATGTTTAACAAGTAAGACAGGGATTCTTCCCAGCCAGCAGTACCTGGTCACACACTTCTCCTTGGGCAGGAGCTACTTCTGCTTCTGGGCACCTCCTGCTCATGCTGCCACACCCATGGGAGCCCTGGAACCGATCTCTGGCTCCTGGAAATGCTGAGAATGCTGAGGGATGCAACTGTGGCTGCAGATGCTTTTTCTGTCTTTATGCTCAACAACTTTAGGCAAGGTGAAATTAATGCTTCTACTGCCCATAGTGCCCACAAGGTAAACCTGCTTGGAGCTTCAATAAAATAAGAACAAGAAAAATCATTTTAAGGAATGATTTTAAGGAATCCTGATTCCATAGGGTGGAGGCTGCTATGAAGACATCACAGCAAATTGAGCTAGGTCAGACTGCCTGGGTGCTGCAGTAAGGTGAGCAGTGCTTCAGGAAGGTGCTGTGATCTGTTAACAAAGGAATTGGTAACTTGGAGTGTCAAACCACAGGAGAACAAACTGAGGTGTCATAACAAAACCACATAGTTGGTAAGTGAAAATCTGAGATGATCATACCAGTGTATCTACGTGGTCAGAGTGCAGCTCTCAGCTCACCAGCATGCAGGCAGTGCACCACATTCAACACAGATTTAAAGTCAAGTTTTCAGGGCACTTTTAGGTTGCATTTGTCTGATCACTAGGTTTCCCTCTAACAAACTAGGAATTTGCACCCAGGCACCCAGTTGCCTGCCTGTTTCTGGATGATTGAAATGCAAGTACACTCTTCAGAGGGTTAGGAAATGTGGTACCTTTCAGAAACACAATCTTAGGATCTCATGCCCTGTGCCAGCCTGGGATTTTGAGCATCCTCAAGGCTGGGGCAGATAGCTTTGTGGTTCTGGGGTGGCTCTGCAGTCTGGGAATGTGCTGGAACAACTGGGAGGTATCACCCGCTGGCAACAATGAATTAAAAATAAGGTGATTTAAGACAGGTTTTTCAGTCACTTGATTCCTGGAGATGAAGATATTTATCAGAATTATGTCTGTGGCACCATTCTCCCCCCCCTCCCCGCCCCCCCCCCATTTTTACTTTGTCTTGGAGTCATAAGTAGATTGAATCCCTTTTGACATCTAGCTAGTTCAGCTTCATTTGCCTAACTGAGATCTAATCTGCCATGCAGTCCAACTCTCTCCCACCCTTCTCCCCACGAGCAACTCCCAGAGTCTCTAGACAGAGCTGAATTGCCCAAGTGCAATCTGTAGCAATGCCTCTAGTAAACAATTTTTTTGCAGAAGTGGTTCCTTTTCAGCACATCTGGTTTGCTGAAGGAAGTGTGCATCTGCCCTGTCCTGCTCACTGCAACACCAACACTGGGCTTCCTCCCAGCGTGGCTGAGCTAATAATGAGATGCTTTTAGGTTCAAAAGAATGGGTTTCTCTAAAAATTGCAAACAGGATAAGATGTTTTGTCTTTCATCTGCAATTTAGTTTTTATGCCTTTTGAAAATGCAACCTGTTTTACTTGATGCTATTCAAGGCTTGTATGCAGTCTTGACCCTATAAATAGAAAGGGTAAATATAATGCAGAACTATGAACACCAACTCTCTTCTTTTCCAGATGAGCTGGGAAGTGAAAATGTAAAAAGGTAAATTTTATGAATATCATTCTTTTAAAAAAATTTTTTTACTCTAACCTTTTTCTCCTTCACTGCCTCTTTTAATTTAGCTGTACACTAAACACCATTACTTTTTGCCATTGATTGAACTAGCAACCTCAACAGGTGGATAAAGTGTGACTTCAGTATGTGGCTGAAGTGTAAGACTAGAGCAGGAGAGCAAGAGTTAGTGGTGGCTGAGGCAAGGGCTGCCCCCCAGACACTCACAGCCCACAGCCCTCGCTGAGCCTGCTCTCAGGCACCTCCTGCTCCATCAGCCACAAGTGGTACAAGGTGCCCCATGAGCAAAGGGGATCAGCTCCCAGGCTCATCACAGGCTTTTGATATTCAGAATAAGCTCTGTGTCTTGCTCCCCTGTTTTTCAAGTTTATCTTCTTACTCAGAGGTAAGGAAGAAAGGCTTGCCTGCCTGCCACAGGAGCAATGCTTTGAAAAACAAGACAGAAGCTGTGTGGCTCTTCTCAGAGTCACCATTTTTATTGTTGCCTTTTATTGACCTCCATGTTGCTAATCAATGCTGAAAGTTTACTAGTTGGCTCTATGAGGAAAAAAAAGTTTGCTTTTTTGCTGAAAACATATTTTCTATCATATGACTGCAGGAATGATAAGCAAAAGGAAACTAAGCAGAGGCATTTAAATAAACACAACTCTCATGACCTTTGCTTTTGAAGTCACTGCAAATGTCAGTCACAGCTATGATGAAACTTTAGGCCTTCAGCTTTTAGTACTGGAGAAATGGCACTTCTGTCATGTGTTCCAGGAGGGCAGGGACAAACTATCATATTTTTTTTTAGTTTTCTATTTACAGCAGGGACAGTTTTCAAGAAGCTGCAATGATCCTGTGCTCTGGCATGTCTCTGGCTGCACTGAGTCCCTGTGTGGTCTGCCTCAGCTGGCCCTGCCTCTGCCCAGAACTGGCATCTCAGTGCCACTCCCTCGCATCTGTTCGTGACCCCTTGGTTCACACCCAGCGGGCTGACATCTCCTCAGGTTACTGGGCTAGGGTGGCTCTCCAGAGTTAATACATGTGTCTGGAATTACAGGAGAGTCATACAAAATCACTGCACTGTAAGCTGTTAGAATTAAGCATTTTGTGTAATGCTTTTTTTCCTCCCTCTCTTCTCTCAAGTCCTATTTTTGAAGAAGACACACCCTCTGTTATGGAGATAGAAATGGAAGAGCTTGATAAATGGATGAACAGCATGAACAAAAATGGTACACGGTAACCCCTCTACTCCATCCTCCCTCTCTTGCCTGCTGACATAGATCCCATGCATAGGAAATCAATGGAAGGTGTTTTGTATGCATATCACTGCTTTCCCTACAACATTTTTAGTTGTGCTCTTGACTCCCTCCTACTAAAATAACTGAACAAATGTCAGGGGTAGATTTTTTCAGAGCAGTATTTTAGTTTGTGTGGGAGTTTATTTTTAATATGTGATAGAATCTCATAAATGTTTTCAGTTTCCAGTAGACATTTCTATTAAACACGCTTATAGCTGTGAATGTTATTTATATTTTTAAATACACATTTTAATGCTAAATACTAATTTCTCTGAAGCATCTAGTCCTTTCAGTCTCCTCCAGAATTTCTACACTTTTGTGCTCCACACTGAGGTATTGTAGAAGAAATATGCATTTGCTTGTAGTTCAGACCACCATTTATTTTAAATTGCTGCCAGGAGCCTATGAATACACTCTTCCCCTCCCTTCAAAGCTATCAGCACATGGAGAAATTAGAACATGTGGTAACTATCAGCAGCAGCATCTTCAGCTGCCTTCTCAGTTACTTATGAGTACCTTGCATTTTTCCTCCCAGTTTTCTCCCAGGTGAATTCCCCAGTCAAAATCTCTAAGGGGTCTGCGTTGCCCTTCCAGGGTCTCCTCAAAAAATATAGGTCTTCAGTAAACCATGAGTTAACCAAGGCCTGATTTTGAACCATGAACAGCTTTTCACTGACTAAGAAATGCTGAAACACTGATATTTTTTTCATTCCTGGTCCCTTGCTTTCTATCCAAATGGCTCATTTGCCTGACCTACTAGGCATGCTTTGTTTTTCAGGACATAAAGCTCTTTGGAGCATTTCTTTGCACTAGCACAGTGCTCCACATGACGGGGTTTTGACCTTTGTGGCCTGAAAGCTTTTACAGAAAACATGTGCTAAGTGGCAGTAGTGAAAGGGAGGCATTAACTGTACTGCATGGGGAAAAAGTGGTATAAAATATACTTTAAAATTTTGTGGAGAGAAGGGAGCAAGTATTTTACGTACTTCTCTGTGTGTGTGTGTGTGTGTGTTGTAGTGTTCCCTAAACTCCAGCCCCAGATCCCCGGCTGGACTATAAAGCTGAGGTGCCGCTGTCAGCAGTGGAAGATTAACAAACAGCTCTCCCTGTGGCAGTGTGTAGGAGACAGTGCTCAAAAGTGCCTCATTTGTATAGGTGTACATAAAGAACTGGAACATATAAAATAAATTGTGGCAACACCTACCAAAGGGGAGGAGGTGTAAGATTCATGCTATGGGGACCATGCAGATAAAAGGGTGCAGAAGTGCATCTGCAGATCTGTATTCTAGAGTAACTACGTGATAAAACTTCATGCATTTTTGAAATAAATGTAGAAGAACTGCCAGAGTAGAGTAACTATAGTCTTGTTTCTTACCCTTTTCCAGGTGACTGTGAATGTTTACCTACTGTAAGAGAAGAAGAAAAAGAATCAATTGCCAACCCAAGGTACTTTACTTCATTCTATTATTTGAAGAAATATGGTCAGTGTCATTCTAAAATAAATTTTTTGTATGTAATTATAGAATTAGTCTTTGGTCCATTTAAGTTTTAAAATTTTTATATATAGAAACTATGACTTAAACTAAAGGCTTGACACTTATTTCTACACAGGTCTCTTCCTGTAAACTGCACTGCTAAATAATCTTACAGTTGTAAAGTGGTGCAAGACAGACAACCAGATGGCACAGATGGAGTTTCACTCACTGATCAGACTTTAATCACAGTTTCCCAAGGTGTTAATACAAGCATTCAGCATAGCTTCCTTGGCACCCTTCAGCAAAGGCACCCAGTTCCCCTCTGCCACCTGGTGCCTATAGGTTCTCGGGAATCACTGCCAGATGTTTTGGCTGGAGCTGTGACCTGACAGACAGGGGCTTGTCTGACTCCAAGGAAAAAATGAGAATGAGAAACACGAAGGATCTCCCTGGTGCCCCCTCGCAGCACTCCCCCAGAGCTGGCACTAGTTGATAGTCCAAGCAGAGATCCCAGTGGGATGCAAAACCACAATCCTGACAGCTTGTAAACTTAAAATCTTTCTGGTTGGTTTCCTCAGTATTTTGGCCAGAACTCCTAAACCCTTCGCAATTTTCCCTAATTAAAAATTCTGGTTCTTGTTTCCAGCTAGAAACAGGAGGCTGTACATTGCCCTTGCCTGCACCCTTGTGTTGCAGCTGCATTTTGAGGAGTGGGCAAAGCAGCTTCTCTGTGCCAGGTTATGATAACAAACAAGCCACCCTGTGTGCCAAGAAATGCCTGCTGCAGTGGAAGCAGTGATGCAATCAGGCAAGGCCAGGAGCAGGGAGAGGACCTAGGTCTGCTTCCCATGCCATCAGATAATTCCACTGACCATGCCTCTCTGGCAGAATTGCATCTTCTGCAGTAGACTGTCACAATATTCCAATCCTTTTTTCTGAATTTCCTTGCTCAGGAGTGAAATAGGTATGTAAAATCACCACTGCTGCAGAGGTTGCAGCTGAGTTGCTCCAAAGCTGCAGTTTCAGAGGAATCTTTGGATGGGGCTTGTGCACTACAGCCACTTGTATAAAAAAGGTTTCTTTTTACACCTATTGCAAGTGAAACCAATGCTGTTGTTTTAGTTCAGTTTTGTTTAAAAAAAAAAAAAAAAAAGCTTAGATTCTAGGTTTCAGATGCAAGCAAGCACATTAATTTTACCCTTAGCAACTGGAAAAGATCCTGGATTTGTTAGCCATCTGGGTCTTCCCTTCCTGCTGCTGAATGATAACTCAGAGGGGGAAAATTGTTAAGGAGAGGCAGCTGCAGAGCAGCTCTCTAAAAGCAGATTTGCTGAGCATTCCACTGACTATAGCAGGGAGTACAGCACAAAGGATGCTTCAGCCATAGGCTAACACTGGCAGAAGTCATAATGTAAAAGGCTTTTTAGGCACAACACAACGCTTAGCATCAAGTTTGCTTTCCAAATCATTAACAATTCATTTTAAGGAAAAAAAAAAAACCAAAATCCATCATGGCCTACCAGCTTGAGCTGACATTTTACCATCCTTGCTAAAGGAGTGGTTTTGTACTGGATTTGCATTAACCTCATCAGAAGAAGGGGATTTTGCTTCTGGCTATCAAAAGGCATCTCTGGGCTACACCCTACCTCAAGCTCCTCACCTGTAAAACAGAGTTATTTTTGAACACTACAGTGAGGCTTAAGCCTTGATACCAAAAAGCAACCCTGCTCAGATAAGTATGCTTCAGTCAGAGCAAAGGCACACACATTATTTAAGCAAATTTCTTGTAAATGGTATCTTAGAATCAGACTAGATTAGAGAAATTTATGCCTCTAAATTGCAGAAAGGCAAGCAAAAGCAAATCAAAATAGGAGATTTATCTCTAAAACATTCAGATCTTCTCAGACAATGGATATTAGTTGAATACAAAGTGCAAGAATATTAGATTCAATTTAAGATTCTGAAAGACTACTTTGTTTGGGCAAAATTCTTCTAAAATTAGGGTAATTTATATTTTAGATCTTATTGATATTTCAGTATGGGAAACATTTCAGGCCTCACTGAACAGAGATGGTGTTTTCTTGCATCAAAAAGATGCTGAGGGGGAGTTTATCAAGACTCAAATCTCTTGAACTATGAAGGATTTTGATATAATTTTTAAAACATATGAGACAAAACATTTAAATAATGACAATTTGACATTTCCAGAATGAAGGTTGTTCCAAAACTACTCTTCAGAGTAAGTGGATTTTTAATATAAAAATTTTTGAAAGTTTGATGAACAAAACTGTGTGGCAGTAAAGTATTTCTATGTTGAGTGTCTCCCTTACCCCGAAGCTACTTCTTCCAATTTCATTTAGCATGAAATTTTGAAATATGCTTCATTTCGAAGTGAAAAGATATTTCAAATGGTGAGAATTCTGGGTAAACAAACAAAAAATTCCTGTTTATTTGCAATTGGACCTTATCAGTACAAGATCTGCTACTTTTCCCAACCAAAATCTTAGATGAATAAATAATATCAGAAAGAGAATTACATACAGATAAGTAGATGTTTTCAGCAGCTCTTTTGAGCAGGGAAAGTGGAAGACTAAGAAATAAAATGAAACAAAGCTATAATGATGGCAAATTTTGTACTCATGAGCATTAAGGCTGCACATTTGTGCAAAGGAGGCAAGATACAACAGCCTGGGCTCCTTGATAGGTGGAGGTCACCTCCCCTGGCCTTGTAGGCTATGTTACAAAGATAACTTATGCTGTATAATGTATATGGGGACGTATATGTATATGCATGTATATACGTAATGTATAAATGTATACACACATTTTCAAAATTCATATACATTTTTCAAAATATGTATATTTGAATCAAAACCTCTTGCATTTGAAAGCTACTGCCAGAATCCTGATTGTGCCTGAGCACAGCATTGCAACCTCCCCCCCACCAGCCCCAGCTGCCTGGGGCCAGGGCTCCCATCCTGTGCAAGCAGGAGGGAGCAGGCAGTGTGTGCAGCGGCAGCAGGCAAGGGCTCATCATCTGTGGGGCACAAGGGGGTAGAAACCAATCTCTGCTCCAGGGACCTTCACTGCTCCAGAAAAATAAGTGCAGGCTGTCCCCTTCATGGGGGACCCTTAGCATGGGTCTATGCACCTTAGCACCTTGTAGGGGGTGGAATACAAGCAATCACCCTGTGCTTTATCACCTGAGAGGTTTGGTTTGTCTCGCTGCTGGGCACCCTCCTAGTTTTTCTGTCTGAAAAAGGATTACTCCTTCCTATGGAGAAATGTTTTGGGTGGATGGTAGGGCAGCACAGAAAGAAGTAATGCATTCCCAGGATGTGCCTCAATTTGGCAAGAGACTTAAGAAAACATGTAAAATATTAAGATTATGAGTGGCCCTTTTAGCTTCAGAGGTGGTTTAAAACCCTGCTGTTATCCCTGCTGACTGAATTCAAATCAGACCATGTAAGCTGTTACATTTTTTAACATTGTCATGAGCCAAACATTATTAAGAGAGTGCTAGGGAGCAAGCCACTTGGGCAGAAACCAGCGGGACAAAGACAAAAAACACCTGTTATGAGGTCAGCTGTAAACCAAAAATTCTAAAGTTACCCTCAGCTGAGGAAAGAGAGCCAGCAGCAGGAGAAAGGCTGTGCTGGGCAGCCATGAACCATCAGACAGGAATCAGAGCAGCCCTTGCTGCCAGCATCAGTTCATCCATTACATGAGTGACAGATTTATTTTCTGGTAACACCTTCTCATGAACTCTAGAGATACTCTTGCATGTTATTTCCTGCTGAGACAACTAAGCCAACAGCGTGACACTGGTGTTTTTTTTCTCTTCCATGTGTACACAGTGATGGTGAATCATGAAGTCCTCAGAACAGCAAAGAACTGGCTAAAGGGATGCAGCACACAAGCTCATCATCCCCCAGATATTGGAAGAACTGGATTTAAATATAATTCATCTCAAAAGGCCAGAGGAGCAAATGCTTTTGTTGTGTCCTGCTTTATATGGTCTTCAGAAAGGAAACATCACCAAGGGAAAAGAAGAAAAGGAAAAGAAGGAAAAAAAAAAGAAAATAAAAGAAAATAAGAAAAGCACTGTAGCAAGATTAAGGAATGATTTAAGTTATTTTTGCAATGAGATTCACCACAAATCAAGAGAAACCCCTTTTTCACTCCTGCTAAAAGTTCTCAAAGTAGTCCATATTTCTCTCTAGTTCTGCAGTTGTGTATTGTGCAGCACTTAAAACCAATTCTGTTGCAAATTTGGTGGGTTTCTTTGTTTTTGTTTGGTTTTGTGAGTGTTTCAGTGTCCTTAATTCTGGACTGCCCTGGTGTGGTGGATGTGAAGCTCATGCCTATGCAATGTTTATTTCTCAGTTTGCTTTTTCTGAACAGCGCACTGATTTGCACAGGACTGCTGTTGGGAAGGTACCAGGCTAGGACTGACAGACCAGCTCTGAGGACAGACAGCAGCTGAAAAGCCTCTCAAAGGAATAGCCAGAAGTGACTGCAGCCCAGCCGGGGCACAGGGTCTGCAGAATGCTTTTTGGTTTTCAGATTAAAGGGCCCGTAGAAGCGACAAGTATTATTTTGAGACTGCCTTTCAGTTTGTTATCTCCACAGATGAGCGCCCTGGGCTAGCTCTCCCTGTGTAACTCTTCTCCCTGCCCAGGGCTGTTCTCTAACCACCTACTTCAGGAATATTCAACTTTAAAACTTCTTTTTTTTTTTTTTTTTCCCTTTTTTTTTTTTAATGAGGGAGGTTGAAAAATGGAGCAATTCAGTATTCACCTTAAATACAGATTTAGATAAGCATGTGTTATGCGTAACTACTTGGTCAAGGTTTTCGGATGCAAGAGGTTTTCTGCTGCTTCTGTTTTTAAATACTGAGACTGCAATATCTGAAAGACAAGGACTTCTAAGTGTGCCCAGTCACTTTTAGTTACAACGAAAAAAAATCAGACTCCTGGGATACCTCAAGGTGGGAATATGAATGTTGTAACTACTGTGTCCATTGATTTTAGATAGCATGTCCTTAGGGATGTAGCTTAAATATGTAACACACATAAAAATGGATCCTTGTCCGGGCAAAGTTTCTCTTGCCTTATTTAAAATAGCAGTTTCATATCCTACCATATCTTATAGCCTCATATTCTATTTAAATATATAATGCCTTCCCATTGAATAGATGTTTAATATGATCAGGTTTTTTTGCCTGCAAATAATTCTCTAATAAGTTACCATGCATAGCTTGATTAAAGAGAGAAAAAAAAATGCCCCAAGCCTCTGGCATCTAAGTATCACTAATAGCTGACAAATACAGAGGATGGTTCAGCTTTGTGAACAATTAAAGACAAGTCAAAATACAGAAGGAAAAAATGTTTAGAGCTAACCATATTCATTCATTATTGAATTTGGCTTGATTAGTAATTTCCTCAAAGAATAAAAATTTCTTCAGTGTTCCAAAACAATTTATTGCAAATATTGAATTTAGTAAATGAGTGATGGTAAATAAATTTTTCCTGTTTTGATGATTTTTAACTTTGAAAGAAGTGTTCTAAGTTCATCTTTCACAACTTTTTTTAAACATTTCCACTATTTCCTGACAGTAAACCCATCATGTAGAATATTGATTTAAAAGAATGCAGTCACAAGGGGAAGAAAAAGTGAAAGACTGAAATTTAGAAAATTTTTAAAAATTGGAGTAGATGTTTTCCTGTAGCAGTTTTGTTAGCTACTTCTTTCCAACAGACAAAGATGTTTTGCTCAGGTGTCCTACAATTTGCAAAGCAGTAACCTGAAGATGCCCAAAACAGAGAGACTAGGTTTTTTTTTTTGTTTTGGCCAAAATAAAAAGCCGTGTAGAGAGACTAGGTTTTTTTTTTTGTATGGCACAAGATAAAAGGCTGTATTTTAAGACCATTACCAGCTGTGTGATTGGAGGGCAGTCAGTGGGACCCAGCAGTTCACAACACCAGTGTCCAGCAGTGACTCTCACCACACCATGCTCCCGTCCATACAGCTCTGTGTCCAACAGCTGCTGCCTTCTCCCTGAAGCACAGCTAGACTTTTTTTGGTTTTTTTTTTTTTTTTTTTTTTGGTTGTTTTTTGGGTTTGTTTTGGGTTGTTTTTTTTTTTTTTCTTTTGAAAATAAACCAACTCCCAAAGGTGACATTGTATGGCTTAACTCAGTTCTGGCACATTGGTGACCCATCACCCTGTCCAAGCCACACATTGATATTAGTGCAATGCACCAACTCGGTTTGCTGTGGCATTTGAAAAGAGACTGCGCTGTGGATGTTGATGGTTTGGGGTTAATGTTAATTCTAGATGGTCCTTCTCCCAGATAAAAGGCTGTACGGTTCCAAATAAGTTTCTCAGAGATTAAGTTTCACTTATATATTTTACTTTTCAAGCTTACCTTGAGAGAATGTATTTTCTGTAAACTTATGCCATTAAGTGTTTATTCTTATTCCAGTGTTCATCACAGATCAATCTCTATATAAAGCTTTAAAATCAATTTTGTCCAGAACTCATGTCTAGGTTCGAGGTTTTTAATTATTCATGTCACTTTGCCTCTCTAAATTCTGGCATGCTAGAGAATTTATTTGCCTCTTCAGGAACTTTCCTCAGCATTTAGAAATACAAAACAATGCTTTGGGCACTTCCTTGGCCAATTTTGACAGAAATTTTCTCTATCTGCTGATTTTTAAAAGTCTAAACTTAATATATGTTGCGTTACTATTGAAAAATGTGCCGTTCCATCAAATCTCACCTGTCATTAGGTCCTGTCCTCCTTGTGTGAAACAGACCGAGGGTGAAGCAATTTGCATTTCAGTACAGTTATGGATATTTCTAATAGATTCCCTCAGCACGAGACAAATACAATTTTTAGTATTTCACTCTTTCCTGAACATTTATACATCACTGTTTTTCTCCCCCTAGCATTAAACTATGGAGGGGATCACTCATTTATCTGATTCCCCAGCCCAGCTCCGCACTGCTCCATTCCACCCCACTGGTCTCTCTCTTTGATCATCACTTTCACACTGAGATCTGCATTTGCCACAGCCACTGCCCAACACCTCACTTACATCCCAGGTTTAGGGGTGCAGCTGCACCATGGGCACTGCTTTGGCCCCTCTCCTCCCTCACCCCATTTGGTATTTCCCCCTTCTGCTTGCCCATGTGCCCTTGCTCTCCTGTTTGTTTTACACTTTTCATCCATTCCTGGTCATTTCCTTTTGCACAGTTTTGCCTCAGTACTTTAATTTTGTGGGTGGATTGAATTACAGGGGATTTAGGCCATTTCACACCTACATTAATACAGCCGAAACATTATAATATTCCAGTTCACTAGTATTAACTGTACACCTTCTGTTGATGCACCTTCATTTTTCCTAAATCATCCACACAGTCAGGTCCTCTAACCCACAAAATAAAAAGGAGAGCAACCAGACAGCAGATAGGATAGCAGCAAACTCTCAGAATTATTTTATCAGCGTGCACTACAGAGTATTTAAGCCTCTGTGGTAATATCCTCATCGTTAGCCTGATCTGAGCCAACCCATCTCACCATCACCTTGCAACATCTACCAGTAACTGCTAAGTTATCATCCCTCAGTAGAAAATGAGAAAAAGCATGGAAACAGGAAGTGTCTCCCACTATGCATTGTTCTAAAATGCTTCATAGATGTGATGATCCCTGAGGAACTGCTACCTCTTCTTCCATTTTCTTCAATAATTTCAGTAGTTATCCAGCACTTCCAAGACAATTTGACATCTCATTTACAGTGTGAGGCCTTTTTGTCCTGCAGAAAAGCTACAGGTCCAAAGGAGGATTTGTCTGATTTGTCTTATTACCTATACATAGGTAATAAAGAACCAACACCTCTCCTAGATATGCCAAAAATCACTATACTAACAAAATAGAAATAACTCCTCCATAAAGTTACAAACATAAGGTTGCTGATATTACCAGCAGCTAATTAATTCAATAAGAGTCCTGCACTTGTAAAGCACATAGCCCTAACATTAACCTCAGCAAAAAGGAACATTCTTTTAGTTTCCACATAATCATAAGTTATAGTTTTGCATATAATTCTTGGTCTGAGATTAAAAAAATAAATTATTTTTGTAATTTTAAACTCACTGGGGGACCCTAAATTGAACATTTGTTACCTTTCTGATGTGAGACTGCTGTATATTCAACTGTTTTATCAAATAGCTGTTTCAAATTATTTTGTAATGTAAATATTTGAAAAACACAATATTACTTAATTGTACATAAGAGTTTGAGATTTTAAACAGCTTGTTCTAATAAAGATTTTAGTGTCTACAGGTTCTGTTTTTTCCATAGTCCTACTAATCCACTCAAGTCTATGGATGCTAATTACTTGTTATTGATGCCACAACTACTCAGGCCTGAGAAGATGTGCACAGCTGGATATGGTACACAGATATCTTACTCTTGTCAGCTCTCTAAAATTCAAACAAAGCCAAAAAAAAAAAAAAAAAGAAAAAAAGAGAAAGGTGCTTTATATTTAGTTATATTTTTGTTGGGATATTTCAGATTGTTTATATCAATGGATCAATTCTGACTCCAGGGAATGTAGTGAATTAGTCCTATGATTTGTCCTTGGGTGGTTGTTGCCATCTTTCTTTAATGATCAATCATTTCTCAGGTTATTTGAGTTAAAACACTCAAATGGGAGTCTCCCATCGCTAAAGCAATTTTCAGTGGATTTAAGGGAAAAGGAAGAAAAAAGATTAAAAAGAGACACATATTTCCAACTAGAGAATTAGAAAATATTAATAAAGTAAAGCATTACTTTCATCTATTTTTACCTCAGACAATTTCACTAGAGAGGTGTATAATGGCCTGGGAGTATCCAGAAAGCTTGAGACAGTGTTTATTCTGTTTAATGCTCTTTAAGTTCAAACACCTCAATACGAGAGCATCATAGCAATGACCAGGCAGAAACAAGTCACCTCTCTCTCTCTCTCTCTCTCTCTTTCCTAGACAGCACATCAGCAAGACACTTGTCTATGGTACCGCCTTAGAAATCTGCATTTTGGGGCAATGCGTGTCTAGTTCTCAAGGGAGGTACCAAAGAGGACTTGACTACGAAGTCCCAGAAAGTTGTGACACCTTAGGGAGTAACACAGTTACTCTCCCGTCCCCAGGCACTCGCTCTTGCCCCTCTCTCCCCTCCTAGCACCATCGTGCTGACCCACAGGGGGTCAGGGGCTCCTCAAACATGGACTAAAAGAAGGCTGGAAGGGGTCATGGGAGACCGGGCTTAGCAGGGGGGTTTGAGAGGCGAGCAAAGGACACATCCTGCACCGACATTATCAGCAACAAACGTGGTAATACATCCCAAGCACTTTCTGTTTTAGCTTTAAGAATGGTTAAAGTTGTACTTTCTGTGAGTATCAGTGACAAGAAAATAGTAGCAGCGTGGTCTGACACCACAGCAAAGGGCAGCACCAGCTGAAGACTCCCATTCCCTTCCAATGAGGTTGTTCCAGGTCTGGTTTTGTACTGGGTCAGTTCTCCGGCCTCATTTTGAGCAGGATCTCACAAGTCCAGTGAACTACTATAAACAGGTGAATTATGCACCAAAGCAGCGTCTTTCCAGACGGTGGCTGGAATCTCGCCCAGCTCTCAGTAAAGGAGCATTTTTGGTTTGCTGGGGTCTCTCCCAGCCGTACCTCGGCTCAGGGCACCCGCTTTGCCCTGCCTGGATGCACGCAGCTCCGCTCCGAAACGCTGCTGTGAGTGCCACCCCCAGGAGGCAGTCCTGACCTGCAGCGCAGAAATGCATCTCCTGCACGGAGCCCTGACTCCTGTGACCGAGAGAAGCAGCCCGGGGCCGGCGCAGTTTGGCGGCAGTGCCTGCAGCACAGGCACGGGAGAGAGGGGTGTTCTTTCCACACTGGATCACCCGCTTTGTCCCCCAGGATTTGGCCCGGGCTCGGAGCAGCCGAGAGAAGGCAAGGGGGCCCAGCACGGTGGGAGCAGCGCTGCCCTTCGCTCGGGGCTCGCTGCCCTGCGGCGCGGCTGTAAGCGCCACCAGCCCGGGGCATGTGGCCGCTCGGTGCCACAGCCGCAGGAAAACTTCCCACGAGGGGATCCCCCACAGACCAGACCTGCATGGGAACACGCGGTTTTCACTCCCACAGCACACGAGAGCTGGGTAATCTTCAGCCTGACCTTTTCTGCCTGACTAGTCATGCAGACCAGCCCAAACTGTACGAGAATATTCTTGTGAAGGCATTGAAAATTATATATACAGTTGGTATTTTTACCATTTTTCTCAAGAAAGACTTCTCTCCAGTACAGACTGCAAGGCTGGGCCTGATTCTTTAACTGCAGCATTCACTATCTGAATATATTAACTTAAATAATTCCTAATAAGATTTTGTAGCAAAACCAGGGGCAGTTTAAGAAAGAACAAAAAGATACAAACCTTTTACTGCCTGGAAAAAATACAAGCATTTTCTTTGGGGAAAATAAATACTTCTTTTCCACTAGGCTGTATGATGTTCATATAGGAAGTTAAAGCACAACAATCACAGAGCAACTCCCATGAGCAGGTTTATTTCAAAAATCTTCTTTCTTTCAGTCACTATGCACACCTATCAAAGGTCTGTTTTTATTCAGAGGGAAAATAGGACTCATGGAATATTGAAGTGGAAATCCTTCCAAGGGTGGCTCATCCAGAGTTTGGATGACAATGCTACAGGGGTCCAATAGCATTGTACAATTGCTACAGGGGTACAATAGCAATGGTAAAGGTGCAGTGAGCTTCCCTGCCTGGGGAG